GAGTGCGAAATGCAACTGTTAAAGCTGCGTTTAATGGCCATGCACCAGCAGACGCTTTCTGATAATGGAGCCAAAGGCTCACCCACGGAGTCGCCGGCTTTACAGGAGGGTGGCAGCAGCGCTGGGAACGTGGAGCTTAAGCAGATGGAACGTGTGCCGCTGACAGAGTTCAGCAAAGATGTGCTCGAGGACATTACAGAGGAGAGTGAACGATTACTTTCCATTAGCACCACAGCGGAGGAGCCCAAATCTCTGTCCCTGGAGGAGTCAAAGACATTGCAGGAAGCCAGGCCTGACAGCAATGCAAGTCTCGTGAGCTTGAACATGTTAAAGCAGCTGGAGGCCAAGGTGCAAGACCTGCATTCGCAGCTGGAGACCAAAGACAACTGCCTGGCCTCACTGAATTTGCAACTGGAAGCGGCTCGTCGTGAGTCCAGCGCGGGTCCTGCTTCCGCTCGGGACAGCAGCTCGCTGGTAACTAACTCAACGGAGTATCGCACATTCCAAGAGGAGTTTGGTGCGCCGGTAAGACATTATTGCATAGCCCATGTCCAATAACTACTAATGCCCCCTTCTCTACAGACACTTGACATCTACGTGGAGCTGTCGCGGCGCGATGAAATAATCGCAAAGCTTACGGACTCACTGCAGCACTCTTTAAACGTCCGAAGCCAGCTGCAGTCAGACTCAGATAGGCTCGGTGAGGAAGTGCAAGCCTTACGCAGGCAGCTGCATGAGGCCATCGACACAGTCAAGCGAAGCGGTTGGCCTGACCAGCAGGCCAATGCCGGACAGCACATCTCCGAAATATCCATGGATCTGATCAGCGAAAGCGACGACGATCTGGAACGTAACTTTCTCACCGACCACGAGGATCGTGGATCCCGCAGCTCACGGGAGCGGCAGCTTTCGGTGCCAATCGATGACCTGGGCGTGGAGCCGTTGCCTCCTGAGTGGCCGCCAGCTTTTAGCAAGCAAATCGAACAGTTCCAAAAATGTCTGCTGCCCGGCGAGCTGCGCCCGTTTCTTTTAGTGCAGCGTAAATTTGACGACTATCTAGCGCAGCAGTTGGCGCAGTGCCGGGATCAGTGCGCGCAAGAACTCAAGATCAGCCGTGATCAGTGGGAGAGCGAGAAATTGGCAAGCGAGCAGGCCCAGCATGTGGCACACACTAAACAAATGGAGGAACTGCGAAAATACTTTGAGAGCCGTTGTGCCGACCTAGAGAAACAGTTTTCCGATGATGTATTCTCGCATAAGTCCCAGCATCTGGCCGGCGACAGCTCCTCCGAGTGCTCGGAAGTAGAGCAGCTGCCCGAGGAAGCCGCCTCCAAGGAGCCGTCTCCGCGCAAGCGTAAACGCGCCGAGCTACTGCTCAGTCCCAGCCATCGCCAAATAACGCCCAGTGGACTGGATTCCCTGGGCGAAACAGCGCCCACTTTAAAGGAAACTAAAGACAATGTGAGCAAACATGCAGTTAGCTTATTGTAGCCAATAATGAAATCAAATATAAATATGTTATCAGATATCGCAGGAAATTGCGGACCTCAAAATATTCTATCAAACGCACATTCATGAACTGAAGCGCTCCCACGCCGACCAGGTGCGCAAACTGACAGAGCGTCTGAGATTCTACGAGCGTCGTCAAGCAGATGATGACTACTTGGTAAGTTTTCACTTAAATTGAGGCATGCTTCTGTCTTTGTATGAAACTAACACAAAGCTTCAAATGTGATTAACTTTTTGAGTCTCATATATATGGGATTACCTGCGTCCGTCAATTGACCAGCTGCTAACTGCATGTTCTTTCTTGTTTCTTTACTTTTATAACCCAATAAACAACATAACCAAACTGTAACTACCTGGCACGGCCACAACTAACCTGCACACAGCCAACCCACAATTCACCGCCTACCTGCCAAAAAGCCAGCCAAGATACATTGGATGTGGCGCCCACGCCTGTCCAAAATCCAAACAGTTCGCTGATCATTATCGACGAGGATGAGTTGAACCTGAATAACGAATCGCAGGTGATACGGCGCATCATTGAGGAGTACGAGCGACGGCTGCAGGAGCAACTGGCGCTGGCACGCCAGGACATTGCCACCGAGCTGGAACAGCAGATACAGGTGAGGTGTGGAGCGTGGAGCGTGGAGCGCACATGCATGTGGTTGGCTCTTCACTGCGCTGCTCTTTGACAACTTTACAACTTGCCGCACTTCCGTGCATGTTCTGCATGCTGTGTGTGATTCACCAAGCTGCGTCTGTAATTCTCGTAACCAAAATTATTTCTGTCCACTCGTTCAATGAAATTTCACGCACCGCGCGAAAATCGTGCAAAATTTTGTCAGGTCGCCAAAAAGAAAAACAGCAGCGAAACGTAATTAATTTTCCTGTGTGGAGTTCTTCGGCTTTACGTGTGGCCACACAAATGGCACACAGATCCTATAGTTGGGCAAAGATCATTTCAGTTAGCTGACACAAAGTGATCATTAAACAACAACAATTTCTTCGCTTTCCCTTTTCTTGCAACTGATTCGTAATTGAAATAAATCTGTTCTTGGAGCAGCTATTTTAAGGCCAATGTCAACGATCCCAGTCGAATGTGTGGACGTGTGTCAACCCTTTCCCGACTCCACTTCCAGCCAGAATGTTCTGAAGCGGATTTATGGCGACAAGTGAGATAATTTCTGTATAACTTAATGGAATATCCGGAAGAGTTTGTCATCGTAACAGTAGAATCTTAACAAGAGCTTCAAGTAGGGTCTCATCTGTGTAGAGGCAAATTGAGGACAACTAAATGTGTGTCACAAATATGTTCTAACAAAAAAATATATTTTTATTTACATTGTGCACATGCATATATACATATACACATACGTATGTATGTGTGGTATTTGTTTGTTTGCCAACAAAATTTAGCAGGCATTTTTCAGTTCGTTTATTTGCTTGTAGTATGCATACATATGTATGCATGTGTGTATCCATGTGTGTATACGCCAATTTATCGTACAAACTAAACATGTGCTTTACGTTGAAATATTCATAAACAAGCGTCTGGCTATGCAACCACTTCACATAAACGAAAGATTGTCCCAGCCTAATAAAGGCCGGCCGGAAGTGCGAAGGGTAGTCCGGCTTAGAATTAATTAACTTCGCCGAATTATTGGTACATATATTTAGAAGTGTCGACAAACGAGTGAAATTACACGCATGCACATGCACATACACATTAATATACACATACATATTTACATGTGTGTGTAAGTGCAATAACAGTGCGTAGCTCACCGTCCAAAATTAACGAACATAAATTTAAATTAATCTCAACACGCATACAAGCACACCAGTGCGGACAAGCAGTGCAGCGCGCACTGCTTTGCCCACACGAAGCAAATGCTCTCACTCTCTCTACCGCTCTTGTTCGACCGTGCCGATCTTTATTAAATGGCCTGTTTGCTTGAATCGCCTGCTCAGTCTTTTCCGTTACTTCAAGGCGTACGTATGTTAAATCGCGTTGTGTGTACGAGGTGCCGAATTATAGATACAAATGTATATGTAAATACGCGAACAGAAGTGAACATACATATACATATACCTATTATAAATACATATGTGCATAAGTGAATTAGCATAAAAACATGTGTGTTTATAAAATCTTCATATAAAGTGAATAATTAAATACAATACAAACGATAAATCAACAATAGCACAATACATACACAGACATATCTGTGTACATATGTAGATACAATTGAAAATTGAATTGTTATGCTGCTCAAGTTCTATGACATCTGCATAACTGTGTGCGTATGCGTGTAGTCTTCAAATAAATATACATATACATACATATGTGTGTGTGTGAACAGTCAAACGTTCATTGATTAAATCAAGTGTGTGAGTGAATTCGCGAGAACTAACTACAATTCAAATCTAACGGTTATATGGTTGGCGTCTTTCAAAAAAAGTAGCATACATACATGCATATAAAGGGGATTTTTGGATTTGAAAGAGCTACTAAGAAAGTAAGAGCATATAAATTATTATAATTAAAGTTACAAATTATAAGAGTTATTGAAGAAATCAAGTAGCACTGATCCCAGATTCTCCTTGTTCAGAATAAACTGTATATTAAATGATTGGTCTATAAGAAAGAATTAAGCTTGTTGCGGTCGGGTGCAACCGACTGTGCAATGCTCTGTTAACAGACCAAAAAAACATAAATTTTTAAACTTTCACTAGAAAAGAATGACTTGTGAAATTTGCAAGGACGGAGATGGGCATGCTACGATATATTTATTTAAATTTAAAAATGTGGAAGCGTTTTCGCTTTCTTGTAGCCAAAATAAATTGTATAATGGCTATGCATGAATATATATTTTAGGTTGCATAAAGTTGCGATCTTACAGACAGATCGACAAGCAGCAAGCCAAACATTGAACAAAACCAATATGCTCTTCTTAACTTTTGGGAATAGAGTGTAAAATATACAGCACATGCATGTGTACGAATGTATCATGTATACTCTGATCGATCCCAAAGTTCTCAGTAAGAGACCCACCCAATCACAAAAACCCTGAGTAAACAGTAAACACTTTTAGCTTTTGACGTGCTCCAAAACTAGGAAAAGTCGTTGCCCTTTTCCAAAACCATAAACACTATTCCTCTGTCAGGCAGTCGCAGCATGTGATGTTATTTTTGGTTAAGGCGCAAAAATTTGGTTTTCAGTTGGTGCCTATTTTGGAAAGTTGTTCTATTTATAATGCGACACTCGGCTCGGAGTAGAGTACTCATTCTGCATGTGCATTCGAATCTCTTGAACGGAGTGCGCTAACCATTTGATACTGATATCGATTTTCTCATTAACTAAATTTTCTAATTGATTTTTAATTGAATGGCTGACACGCCCACAAAATGAAGCAATTGGCAAGCCAATTAGCAGCAGGCGCTGCCTATATAAGACCATTTTTCTGGACCCTCAATCCAAGTACACAAGGACCATGAGTTCTGACAACATAAAGGCTTCGCGAATTTTGGTGCGCATTCTTGGGTCTTGTGGACTGTGGCCCAGCCAAGGCTCATCCGGATCCACGAAATGGATACCCGGATGCAAACGCTTTCAGCCACTTGCGATTCATTTCATTGTGACCTTTACCTTCACGGGCATGATGTGGATCGAGGCTTTGGGAAGCGACGACTTCGAGCACTGCACCGACGTGCTTTTCATCACGCTGACGATGACGGGGCTGGTGGCTAAGATTTTCAATAACTGGCGTCACGCTCACATTGCCCGCGAGCTGCTTCAGGAATGGAGCACTAGCCGGCAGTTTGAAGTTCGAGCTGGGCAGGAGCGCGATATGTGGGAGCATGAACAGCGCAGGTTCTCAAGAGTCGTGCTGTTATACTGTTTCTGCAGTCTGGGCGTGGTGCCGTGCATCTTCATATCGTCGGCGGTCAACTATCCCAATGAGCTGCCGTTTTGGGTGTGGGTGCCCTTTGACTGGCAGCAACCGGCCAAGTTTTGGTACCTTTTCGCCTATGAACTTTTCGCTGTGCCATTTACGTGCCTCTGCAACATAACAATGGATCTGCTCAACTGTTACCTTATGCTGTATATCTCCCTCTGCCTCCAATTGCTGGGAATGCGCATGGCTGCACTGACTCCCGCAGTTCACGGGAACTCTGAGCGCCAGCTGTTCGCACAGCTCGTGGAGGTGATTAGGCTTCACAGTCGCGTCAAGAGCCACGCCAAGAAGGTCCAAATCTTCATTTCGAATAGCACGCTCATTCAGATCTTGCTCAGCGCCGTAATACTGTGTCTCTCCATCTACCGCTTGCAGATGGTAAGTGCGCAGGCTACGTGGTCAAGTGTCTATGTTCAATCTGTTCGTTCCTTGCCAGCTTAATGTACTGCAGGCTCCGGGCATGTTCGCAGCTATGACGCAGTATCTATTCGCAATGACCATGCAAATCTTTCTGCCCAGCGTTTATGGCAACGAAATTACCCACAACGCAGATCAGTTGCCCAACGCGCTCTACAGTTGCCAGTGGCCGGACATGTCGAAACGTATGCGTCGTCTAATACTCTGTTTTTTTATCTACTTGAATCGCCCGATGGCCCTTAAAGCCGGTGGTTTTTTTGAAGTGGGTCTCCCACTTTTCACCAAGGTACCGACCATTTGCATTAGTTAGACTGGGTTTTACATTCTAATGCTACTTTTTTACAGACCATGAACCAAGCTTATAGCCTTTTGGCCTTGCTTCTTAACGTCAACAGCAAATAAAAGACGTTCGATGTGAACGAGTCTTTAACTTTGCGAATAAATCACAAATTTAAACGAATTTATATGCACATATGAATAGCTTTGTAGTTTCAATTCAAATAAATGGAGAAAACTAAGATCCTCAGGCAATACGCCCTGTTATTGAAAAGATTGCATACAGGAATATATCTCCCACCTTTTTAAAGCTTTTTTATTTACATTAATTATTTCCTGGATATCTATAATATATCATTATTGTCTGCAGCTTTCATAAGCTAAGGGAAAGGTAAAAAGACAACTTATTCTGAAAATCGATACTTATAGATTTTGGAACTATCAAATAATTAAAATAAGTGTGTCATCGGCTTGGACAATCCAAGTACCTATAATTGAAACTTGAAGACGGACATGACTAGATCGGCACAGTTATTGACCTCCGACCGTTTCCTCTGTGCGTATTACAACATTTCCCAAAAAGTAGTCCCATTTCTTTTGAACCTAATTTCAAGGAGTACAGGGTATGAATATTTTTATCCAAGTTGTTCAAGGCATATTAATAGAATATGCATTTTCACACATCTACGTCTGGAACAATTTAGTCGGAACAATCAAATTTCCTATGTTGGTTTTTCGGATATCCTGTGCTGAGCAGGTTTATTTTGTTTTTGCATAAAAACGAAATGGATTATAAACACGAATTTATGACGTATGCACTTTTGCACACATGTTTCATATTGTTTTCTGCGTGTTTTTGTTTATTAAATGATGTTCGTATGTACCTAAAGGCCGCCTATAAGGGTATCTTCTAGTCGTGCACTCCCGATTCTTACTTAAATTTTCAATGCGCCATTCTCAGCAGCACACCACATGAGAAAAGTAGGTATACGAGGAAACCAAAGTAAATAAATAAGTTAATCAGAGAGCTGGAAAATATTAATCAGCTGAGAGCACGACCCCAGTACCAGAGATAAGGCGTTAAGAACTGCAAATGTTCAATCTACTTTAAATTACTTTTATTTGAATTTAATTCAGCCTCTTTTTTAATTTAAAAACATTTGACACTTGATGCAGCTGCCACTGCTGCTGCTCTTCAACTTACCCTTTCCCTTTCCACGATTGTGGCATGTTTATTGAGATTTATGTTGCACCCTCCCACAACTACAATCGAACCATTCTCGGGGCAACGTCGCGACTTGTCGATGATGATAAACAAAAACGCGGCGAACACCCACTCGACTTTCCCTCCTTGTCTGATCAGATGTAAGACCAAAAATTGAGAATGTGTAGCGTAAACGTTTAACACCATTTCTCTGCCATGAACATGTAAATGTTTTGCTTTGATATGACTATAAACAATAAATATTTATGTCCTGTTGCGATGAAATGCAGCTTTTCGAAGAACTGCCTGTCCACCGATCCATTGATCTGGTCGTATATGTGTCCAATATGCCAGCAACTGGTGCACCAGACTTTCACAGACTGTGAATCTTATGAATTTTGTTTATATACAAGTTTGTTTTCATTATTAATGTCCATGTCTAAATTGATTTTGCAGAGTTTGTTGTCGGAGAGCGCAGTCGACGACCAACATTGGCCCAAGGAGCTAATACTGTTACGAGAGAAGTTTACGGCCAAGAGTCAATTGGAGATAACCCAGTTGAATATAAAACATGCCGAAGAGGTGAGTCCTTCAAGTCTCTAATATGAATATATCCCTCTATTAAAACCCTCATCAAACTAATCCACAGATGGCTCGCATGAAATTGGAATATGAGAAACAGCTCAACCGCAAGAACAAGCGGCATCTGACTTTCGATTCGGGACGGGACTTGGAGCTGATTATTAACGAGCGCGATGGATTGCGGCAACTATCGAAGAGCTTCCGCAGCGTGCTCAGTCGCCTGGCCAAATGTGTGGCCAATTGCGAGGGCGACCTCAATGCAACGCTCTCCGAGGAAATGCAGCGCATACTAACCCAGAGTCGCAGCCAAGAAGGGGGCGAAGATCTAGAGCACACGCTGAGTAGCTCCTTGCTGCAGGGTTCGTTCAACAACACAAAACACCTGCGCCTGGTGCCTGATGTGCACAGTCTATTGGAGGTGGTTGAGGATCCCAGTCTAGTGCAGTTTATCGACAGCAAAAATAGCGATGATCAAAACGATTACTTTGATCTGGGTGATTGCCTAGAGCGCTTGAAATCGGAGGCCGCCTACCTGCTGCAGCTGTCCGAGGATCTGGATAGGCAGCGCGCCAACGAATCTGTGGAGCGACAGGATGAGCCTGAGAAACAGGAGCACGAATTGTGCTGCGAAGCCGAGGACGGTCTGAAAACTACAGCGCCAGTGCCACCAACTCAGCAGCAGCTGCTCCACGAGCTACTGCGCACCAGCTCGCTGAATGATCAGCATCTGGGCGTGGCACATCAGCGCAAGAGCAGCAACGGCGCGCAGATGATTAAGCCGCTCAGCTCGCTGCCGCTTGATCTGCAGCAAAATGCGGGCAACGCCTCCGAACTCAGTTTTCAGCTAGTGGAGCTAAAGAATCGCCTGGTCAAATCGGAAACGGATCGACAGAATCTGCAGCAGCAGTTAACGCATACTATAGACCGTAATGCGGAGTTGGGTCAGGAGCTGCAGGCGCTGCGCGATCAGCTGTCGCAGTTGAACTCGTTGAACCATACCGATTATGCCGAGGGCTACGGCCTGGGCGACATGAAGAGCCCGCAAGCGCTGGATCAATCGTCGGCCAGCTTTGTGCAACTCCAGGAGAGGGCACGTCATCTGCTGACCTCGCCCACGCAGCAGCAGACGCAGGAGCAGGGCAATGCAACAGTTCTACTGCTCCAGATGATAGAGGACTTCTGCCGCGAGGGCGATAAGGTGGTCGAATCTGGCAAGAAGGACCGCGAGGATCTGCAGTCACAGGTGAGTTACACTGTAGACAGTTGTCGTAATTACCGATCCCTGTCATGTTGTTGAGTGCCTAACGCATGATCAGTAGATTAGCCGTTGAGCGCGTCTAGTTTTAAGCAAAGTACAAGCATAGGTTATTACCTCCCATCCATGCTAAACCACCACAACAGATCGATACCGCCGACAAACAGCTAAAGGCCACGCGGCAGTTCCTGGAAGAGCAGGCCGCCGAGCGCGAACAGGAGCGCGATGAGTTTCAGCGCGAGATTGAGCACTTAAAATTGCAGCTGCGCGACAAGGAAAAGGAGCGCAGCTCTTTTGCCAATGCCTCTGAGGAGGTGAGTGCCCTCCTGTCAAGGGTCTTTCAGTCATATATTACTTATGATATACTACTTATGATTTGGGATTGGTTAAATGTTTTTTTTCGTTTCGTTTGGTTTGCTATTGTTCTATTTCTTCTACTGGACTATTTTGCTGATACTTTTTGTATTTTATAATGTGATTTTGATTTGAATGTTGGCATAGGTCAAAAGGTCTTATGAATAGTTTAAGTTTCCTATACCTTCCTTGCAACGATACCTAAAACAAACTACACGCTTACTATTTACAAACTGATATCAAAAATGCACAAAATATTACACAAATTGGCTAAATCTCACTTTTCTGAAGTACTTGATAAAACTTTAAAGCAAACAATTGACTGCTCAAAAAATAACAAAAAGCACCTGTTGTGCGTTTTTCAAAATATAATCCAATCGGAGGCCTAATGTACCCCCTCTGGTGAACATTCCATCTGGTTTTTTATATCGAAGTCAAGGGCAGCATGATTGTCTGATATATACACACGCACTAAATGTATCTTTCGTAAGCATGTGCCGATGTATTTATAGATACAATAGCAGAAAGCAATCATTTGGTAGCGCGGGAGTCATTTAATTTTCTTGCGTTTGCAAAATGTTTTACACACACAATATTTATTCTGGATATGCACTAACAATAAATGTTAATAATAATTATTTCAATTCCAATCGTACTTCCTTGCATGCTCACACAATAATAACAATAACAGTAATAATAATAACAACAATCTAATCTATTTCCAATATACCTAAAAAAAAAAAAAACCTAACTGCACCTGAAATTGATATGCACCACAAACATTTAAGTTGAGGGTAGTAAAGGAGAAGCATGTAAGTTGCCACGCCCAGTCCCACGCACTTGATTAGCTTATAGGAAAACATTACACTGTTCCCATAATTATGGAATATTCCTTCCAACAGTATGCTCAGCTGGAGACGCAATTGCGCGAGATGAGCCAACAGCTGGGCGAGTCGAATGCCAAAGGGGACAAATTGGAAGTGGAACTGAAGGCGTCCATTGACAAGATCTTTGTGCTGCGCGAGATTATCTCTGAGCTGGAGACACAGGTGCAGACCAAGGCGCTCAACGAGCAGGTGCTGGACGAGAAGGCTAAGCAGCTGGAGGATTATGTTAAAGTACAAATGTGCTCCAATGATGCACTGCAACAGGAGGTGCACAGCCTGAAGACAGACATAGGCGAGGGCTATCAGACGCGCATCCGCCAGCTGGAAGAAAAGTTGCAGCAGGGACTGCCCTCTGCCGAACAAAGCATGGTGCTCAATCAGGTGACAGAGCAGCTGCTTTTTATTGAAACAACTTTGGATCAAAAGACTAAGACACTGGAATCGCTGCACAACTCCAACACGACCTCCAACTCGTGCAGCCTCAGCGCCACAGAGGATGTGTCTGTCCACGGTGGCAACAAGCCGTCAACGGCTGCTCCCACAACCGAAGGCTCACCCAAGCACTCGCTGACAGTGGAAGGGGTGCAGCGCGTGGTCGAGAAACTGGACAGGCATACGCGGGTCGAAGAGGCTGCCATCAAGCGCATGCGTGATCTAGAAATGCAAGTCACCCAGATGCGCAGTGGCTGTGTGGTGAGTACAAATTATTCTGCAAAGCTTTTGTGGTGAAAAATCAGAATGTGGTTGTTGTCTTCACTAAGCGCAGTCAATAAGATAAATCTCGCCTCAAATGCGAGAAATTAGCTTTTTCGTTTATTTAGCAGTGGAATAAGATTCTACCCGGGAGCAAACGGGCGTCTGTTAATTGT